TACATACATATATATATATATTGTATATATTATATATTATGTATTATATATATATTATATATGTATGTATGTATGTATGTATGTATGTATGTATGTATGTATATATATATATATGCATATGCATAAACGATATGACAAATCACAGGTTGAAGGGCTTGCAGGATGGAGGCTTCGGGACGCGCTCCGATTCGTTGATTCTAAGACTGTTTGCACATAAGTGCTAAGTTAGAGTGGAGGACGGGAGGGAGCCCTCCTCGCTTTGTTTGCAGGACCGACTATTGGTGGTATGGAACATGGTTCATTCTCCGAGGCGCCTCGATAACGTTGTGAAGTTCTCTCTAGATCGGGTCCTTGTTACAAGAGCCATTTAGTCTTCAGGAGATCTCGTAAGAGACGCTTGAGGTGCTTCGGAGAAGATTGACGGAATAGTAGTGATCGTTTTGAGAGCGGTGTCGATGGTGCCACTCCATCAAGACTTGAGCCTTTCCATCCCAGACCAAAGGCGCACAGCATGCTCTGGTCACTAGTGTAAAGAAACCTGGACACCAACCCAATCGTTCAGAAATGCCTGGGGCCTTAAGGCAACCAGAACGAACAGCATTCTGACGAACCTGCTTCAATAATGAATTGGTGTGTGTCTGTGTGTGTGTGCGCGTGCAGCATCAGTTTCCTTGCACAAGCACGATGACGATAATGCTGGCTAATGCTGTCATGGATAATGGCGGCGAAGATGATCATGGTGATGACAGTGACAATGATGCTGGTGGTGCTGATGATGATGGCGGTGATGATGATGACGGTGATAATGGTGATGTGGTGATGGCCCTGGTGGTGCTCGTGAAGTGACGGATGTGGGCCCCGATGCTGCTATGATGGTTGTACAAGTTCCCGCCAGGTCCCCTCTTGTCCTTGCCGGTTGTGATCTTCACCGACTTGCCCCAGGCTCTCTGATTCCGCAGGGCATGTGTTGCTTAGTGGGGGCGGAGCTTGCGAAGGCTTCTTGGGACAGGGTGGAAGAAGCCGGTTGCTTGGGCAGGTGCAGCTGTTCGTCATGACAGCCGTAATTGCTGCTTGGCCCGAGGGTGGGGGAAGGGCGAGTCGCCTGCGGCCTTGTAGCCAAGAAGGCCAGGCAACGCGTCAGAGCTGGGACCCCGAAGCCCGGAACCACATCCTGGACTCCCCAAAAGTTTCCGAACGCTGGCCGAGGAAACATACATGGTATTGCAGCTCATGACGTGGCCCTGGAAGACGCCTTTGATCAACCTGGCGGATGGGGCCATGAGCATGATGCCCACGGCTTAGCGGGCTCTGAAGAACAAACCTTCTCTTTTGACTCAAACCCCAAAATCTGAGCTCCACAGACTGCAAAGCTTTAGGATGATCCTGCTGCTCTCCATCGGGGCGGCCTTCCTCGTTGCCAGGCTACAAAAGCGCTTCGAGAGAAAACGTCGATGCACACTTGGGAGATCTTGGGAGTTTTGGGACTAAGGGGACTCGACTTTAGACCCGTTGGAAGAGAGGGACTGACGTTGGAGCTCGGCCCAGGATGCCTTGGAGGAGCAGGTGAAGGCCACTTACTCCAGCTTGGCCGTGGGCGCCGCCTGGTGGCAGTGGGAGGACCTGACCGTGAGCAGGAGTGTGGAGGGTGGCTGAAGATTTCAGGAGGACGGTAAGCCCCTGCAGTGTATTCGTGAAAAAAATATATCTCTAAACCCTAAGCCTCCCGACCCTTGCCCCTGCCCTGAAGCCTCAACGCTCAGATATCTCGGATTCCTCGAGGTTCTTGGCATTCTCTACGCCATTGCCTTCGTCTTGCTGTGCTCAGGCTGAAGCCAGGAAAGGAAAGGCTGGAAGCCGAGCTCCAAGAGCCCAAACGGTTCAGGGGTTTGTGTGGTTTCAGGGACTGAAGGTTTCTTGGATTTCGGGATTTGGGGGGTATTGGGGTTTGGGATTTCAGGGTTTGAGGGGGGGGGGGGGGTTTTGGAGCTCGGAGATTTATTCGGGCGATTCAGCAGTTTTTCAGGATCAAGGTTAGGAGTTTCGGGGTTTGGGCTTGTGGGGCTAAGGTCTTTGGTCGTCGTGGCCCTGGTCCACAAGACCGCCATGGGCTCCGCCAACGAGCTTCCGATCCTGCTCCTTGGGGAAGGCAATTTGGGGCCTTCTTGACATTTCGGGCGAGGCATGGGGTTTGATTGGTGGCCTTGCTCAGGACGCTCCGTGGCAGTTCTGTGCGCAAGTGTGCCGAGGACGCTGGGGCACCCTCCGAGCAACGACACGCTGCGACAGGCGGGCAGCTCTGACAAAAAATCTGCCTGGGACAGCAATTGTCAACGTTGCGGTCGTGTTAGGGTCCCGTGCCGTGTGTGTGTGTGTGTGTAGAGATGCCAGACCTACGAGAGGCTTTGGATGCGCTGCATACGACATACGAGGTGGGTCAAGCTTCCGAAGGGCCTTCTGAGGGGCAGCGCGCGGGCCATCATGGGCCCATCATTTGCTTGTTCCCAAATTGTACCGGAGCATCAGTGTCAGCTTGCACACCGTTGCGCGATTTTGACGGTGTTCTAAGGGCATCTCTGCTATCGCAACTCGCCAGGAGGTCGACAGCAACACCATAGAGAAGGCCATTGATGCCGCTTAGCCGAACTATGTAGGTTGCGGTGTGCCACAAATAGCTAAGAAGCACAGTAGCCACTCAGTAGCTCAGTTCTCGGAGTGCTCCCTTTGACGCGACTCAGGAGCTTAACGTCTACGACAGGCAAGGCCGGGCTGCAGGGTTTTGCTTTCGGACCCTGGAGCCCTTAGGCGGATGCTCGCGACGGTCCTAACCACCTTGGGGCCCTACTTCTCGAAGCTTGGGCAGAGTGAACTTCTGAACGCCAGATGCGCATGAAGCAGCACGGCCGTAGACTTCGTATACGCTGAGGAATGACCACAGAATGCGACTCATGAGTCGGCTCAGCGTCACCCGGCAGACTTTTGAACAGCTTTTCTGGGGATGTAGCAAGTAGCAAGTGCGCACTGTGCCAGGGTGTACTTCTCGTGGGGTTTTCTCCGAGGTCAGCACCATCTCCTTGCCGTCTGTGAAGGCGATACAGGACATCGGATACCGCTAGGCTATAAAGTAAAGTCGTGATATATCGTGATAGAAAGATCTAGTCGCTCTTGAGAAATGTGGTGTGGATCTCACGGTTCCCGGCAGCCGCAGTGTGTCCTTTGCACCTTTCCGGACCCCAGAACCGAAGCATGCCACTTATGTAACCTGTGAATGACACCGCCCCATTCAAGCAGCAAGGGTTGAGAAGAATGCAGGCCAGAAATTCCTCCCTGAACTTAGTGTCGAAGCAGCGTTCCTGCTCCTGTGGCCGCCATTTCGATGCTTGCAACGGGCCGAATCCGTACGGTTTACACGTGTGCTCACAATCCGTGCTTGAGGAGGCAGAGCCTCTGAGCCCAGAGCAGTTGGAACACGATCTGCAAGACCAGGACACGAGCCGTGTAAGTTTAGCCGTGGGCTGTAAGTGTAGTCCTGCAGTCCGGCCCAGGACCCCAAAAGCTTGGTCACCGGAGAGAAGGGGGAGGAGCAGGAAGAGAAGACGGCTGGTGCGGAAGGTGGCGAGAACCATGTGCAGCTTTCAGAGACTTGATCGCCATTAGCGATGGACAAGTCGCACCGGAAGGATGTAACCCTGAGCCACGTGTCAGTCGGTGCTATACAGGATTGAAGTTTTAGGCAGTGCCCTTATCCCGTTTCAGCGTGACGCATTCTTCGATTCCGGATTGGGAGACCCTGGACGAGAGCCAGGGTTGCAGCAGATACGAATGTTCTCATCCCAGGAGACGCGCAACAAGCTCCGCTTCGCTGAGGAGCTGCAGTTTGCAGATGTTTGAAGACGGGCAGCAAAGGCCCGTGCAGCATGCCTCTCTTGCCGGTCTTCAACCGTCGTGCTCTTGACTCAGCAGCCCCGCCGATAGCTGGGGTTGGAAGTGGTTTCGGTACTTGTAGTGCCTGCTTTTCCAGACACCGCGGCCTTGTCGGGTCTCGGGTGCCCTCCCCAGGTGTCTTCTTTTTTTTTCCCGAGGGGTGCGGTTGGGGAAGCTGGCCGAGCCTTCACACTCTCTGGCTGAGCCCCAAAGGGGCTGAAGAAGTCAATGAGATAGAGGCCAGGCCCGTCGCAAACGCCCGAGGTTTTGTGGCAGACTTCGCAGGGGCTTCCTTTCGTCCTTGGCGTGTTACGTCGCCTCAGGATCAGTCTGAGTTCGATGAACGGCAGAAGCCCTGTGCACCAGAAGAGTCTGCTTTAAAGTTATCTCAGTCAAACTCGTTCCCGTTTGCACGGCGGCGTCTTTGGCCTTTCAGGATTGGGATACCGATGCCAGATGCATATCACAGAGAATCGGGTGAAGGTTTTACGGAATGTGACTGCAGAATGCTGCAGACAACTTGAGGGGGAACGAGGGAACTCAACTCTAGTTGGGGTTTGCAAGCATCCTTCCCTGCGCTGGTGGATTCGGCAAAGGATGTGACCATGACAGGAGGTTGGGCACAAACTTTCCCCGGTCAAGCGCTGCAGTGCAAGCGGGAACTCTCAGTGCAGCTGGCACTGAGAAACTCTTGCGAAAGACTCGACCCCAAACCCAAATGGAGAGACTTGGTTCAACTGGGTCTCTCTGTAGTCAAAGCCAAGGGAGGCGAAGACAGTTGAGGCCACGCCGAAAGCGAAAGGATCCGACTCGACTCCACAGCCGCAGCTCAGTATCTTCATGCTGAAAGATGCCAGCTAAGTCTAAGTGCTCTCTCCTATCCAAGCTTTCGAGCACTTTCGAGCCTCCGGCGCCTCTTCCTTGCTGTGTGCCATAGGGCCACGCCCTTTTCGATAGAATTTGGATAGAATTTGGTGAGCATCGGGACAGCCAGCGTAGAGAACCGGCCTGGTTGCAGCTGGCTTCTCCCGGCTCCGACTCCGACATTCCAACTTTTGGGATGCCGCCGCCTTGACTCTGTAGCATGTGCTGTGTTGGAAGGACTTCGTCGTTTCCAGAGCCGGGCCAGCGTGCTGGCTTCAGGGATGGTTCAGGATAGGATTGGGTTTAGGCTTTAAGCCCTTAGAGTTCGGGGTCGCGAGAAGGATGTCCAGGCTCGCGAAGGATAGGCTTCTGGAAACCAGCCTGCACCACATGTCAGCTTTTCGCGGTTAAACCGCCTGAATCGTTCGGAGGCTGCTTTGTGAATTTGTGGTGCCCCGCGGAAGCAAAAAGCGACCTTCAGCCTGAATCGGTCCAGGAGCTTAACGGCTTGGTGATTCTCCAGACCGGATATGTGACTGGCAGTGACTCTGGCTCCGGCGCCGACTAGGCATTCGAAACGCGGGAGGCGACATCACCGGACAGCACTACATTGGCACTTCCAACTCACTTAGCCGACGTACCGTCCATAGTCTGTACCTCGTCGTAAACCTATTATGGCCTCGCGGCTCTGCAGCGATGAGCGCTCCAGGCGTGGTGGTGCACTGCAATCCCTCGTGCCCACTCTTTTGCTGCTTCCTTCTTATCTAGTGGGGGACGAGGCGTAGATTTCTTCGCTTTTGGAATTCGAGTCTGCAGGCTCGCTGCCAGCCAAGAAGACGATCCTCGGTGCAGTCTGTGTGGCGCGGCACAGACAAGATCTTTTTTTGGGCGGAGCTTTGCAGAATTCGATGATGTTCCCTTTGACTCAGGGCCCTGTGGAAGTTCCCACGAGTGGTGGCCCTGAAGGCGGTTTGGGGTTTAGGGCTTTCAAGGGCGTTCAAGCTCGATTTGGCGTGTACAAAGACTTCGTGGTTCAGGGCATTCCAAGGAAGAGTTTTGAAGCGTTGCCAGGACCTGGGAACCAGTTCTGGTCGTCGAAACCCGGCGTGCGGCGACCTACAAAACGATGCAACATGGCAGTGCAGGCTTAGCGGCTTGTGCACAACGGTGCATGTGCAAGGTCTGCCATGTGCCAGAGTCTCAGCGATCTCGATGGGGTAGAGAAGGACCCGGAAACGGAGAGCTTTCTGTGCTGAGGCAAAAGCCCATACCACTGACAGCTCGGGCCGGGCTGTCACGAAGTCCATTAGCCCAGGCCAGGCCAGGTGTAGAAAAGCTGGAGCTGGCTATTCCCCGCGAAGACCTCCGCGCAGGCCATGGAAGCCCACTTCGAGCGGCCTCGGTCGGACCGAGGTGCCGGCCAGCAGGCCCGGCTCTCTCACATATCAAGTACAGCCCACTTGGAATATCTTTCTCGTCATTTCCTGTGTAGGTTCGGCAACGGATGCCCTGTACTCAGCTGTTACGAAGAGACCCACGGCGCGAGAGCGCGTCGTCAGCCTGACGGCCTGACGTGGCTTCGTCACGTGTGCAGGTCCGGAGCGCAACAGCCAGGTTCCAAGAGCGCCCTTGCAACTACAAATTTCACTAAAGCTGCATCTAGTGGGCTACCATCCCCGAGGATAATGGCCTGGGCTCGGAACTCGAGTTGCGCGGCAATGCGTCATGAAAGAGTTGAGCACAGAATCCTTTGAAAGGTCGAGCGCGAGCTGCAGGTTTTGGGTCAAAATGGCTCGGTCCGTGCCACAGAGGTACTTGGTGTCGCCGTGTCCCTTCAAAGAGATGTCGCAGAGTCCCAGCACTCTCTGAGGTACCGCAACAAGATCGCGTGCGCGTCTTCAAGGAAGCTTTCGGCACGACCCTCGGACGCGGAGTCTGTGGCTCTTGCCACGCCAGACCTCACGGGCCGTACAGGTTTCGAGCTGGAGAGACGACAGCAACAATATGAAACCTCTTGAACTCGAAGGGCTGAGAACTGTGCATCTCCGTCAGACGATTTGTCGGGTTGAGAGCAGGAGCCGCTGCAGCAAAGAGCGCACCCCAGCGACGGGCGCTGCTCGATCTCTTTTCCCTGTGTGCACCGGCCGTGGAACTACCCATTTTTTCCAGTCAGTGAAACTCTGTCGTATAAACCAGTTCCACCTCGATCATCAGCCCGACCGTCAGGCCTGACTACGCGTCGTTCCTCTGCACTGTCAGGCCTGCAGAAGTGCGGTGGTTGGCGAAAGATCTGCGTGGCATTGCCACTCCCTGAAGAGCCAACATGCTGTTCTACACCGATTTGGCAATGTTGAAGAAGGTTCAGCTTCCCAAGCGGCATCGAGTCGGTGCCCGGATGCACTTGCCACAGAATGGGGACACCGTAACAACCATCGTTGTAGCAAAATTAAATGCACCGCGATGCCGTTGCTTTCCACACTTTGAATCATCATTCGGCGAGGCCATAGCCGGCGGCCGACAGCTCGGCAAGGTGTTGACAAAAGGAACTAAAAGTGACACAGGACGATACAGGACGTTGACTACGTGTACTCTGCACGCTGCGTTATAGCCGCTGAATGTCTAGGCTTTCCAAACAGACGACTTCCAAGGTTGGCACATGTTTTAACCTCCTGGCATCCAAAGGCCAGAGTCGTTTTCAAGCAGTGCTCTACTTTACAACGACTGTCCATCGCAGAAGTCGTGACGAAAGTTAGAACATGGGCACTGCGTTGCCATCCCCACTCTCTGAAACATGCGGAAGCTGATTGAACTGGCCTCTCGCATGTTGCGACCAGTTTGCTCCGCATGCTTCGAGACGAGTTTTTCTGCCACATAAGTGGACAAACGTGGTCGTTTGTATTGCTAAACATGTTGGCGCCAACGAGCATTTGCGTCTGCTCCTGGATGAGCCGGTGGACGGTGCATTGCTACATCGAGCTGCCGAGCGCTTGGCCAATGCAGACATGCCAGAGCAAGTCCTCGCAGCCAGGTTCGGGCCCGTGGTCGCGCTGCTTAAGCCCAATGCCCGCGTGCGGGCGACAGCTAGTTGCCCCGACCAGGGTGCGCGACGACCTCGATGTGGCGGAACATCCATGTTCATGTCAACCAGTCGAACGTTTCGGGCTATACCCGCGCCCCGGCTTCTTGGCACACCCTCGCCACCGCCCGCTCGAGAGGGAGGGCTCCAGATGCTAGCACACCGGAAGTCGCCCAATATGGTCGCCTAGTGGGTCAAAGCATCCACGGCTGGCGCACGTGCGCGGAGCGACCGGCAGCGGTCGGATGCGCCCACGTGGCCTGGAGCGACAGAAGCTTCTGCGCAGGAGCATGACGCTGCTGCCGCAGCGCCTCGCACATCTCCCCCTGCAGTATGGTGTTTCTCGGGGTGCGCTCCGCAGTCGATGCCGCCCCTGTTGCTTGCTGGGCATCCTGGAGGGATTGCTTGCCGACCATTCGAGCACGGGCCAGGTTGGCAGCCGCTCGTTTGGTCCGCACACTGCAGTCCTGGACCGAGACTGCTGTGCCTCTCAGCCGCCTGCCTCCGCGAGCACGGCTGCGACACTCCTGCCTGGGATTCGCTAATGCAGCCGTTGCCCGTGCACAAAGAACGTGAGTTTGGAGACGTTCTGCGAGGATGACGGCATCGAGCGTGACAGGTCGGGCCGCACGCGGCGCGGGGCTTCGCAGTTTTCCCAACGTCTGCTGAGTTGACGGTGCTGCGCCGCTTTGCTGCGTGTTGCTGCTCTGCCGGCAAAGCTCACCAGACCCCCGCTCGCCGCCGACAACCACCCCTTTGTAAGATTGCACGCTGCCTGCGGGCGTTTCCCACCGACACGGCCCCTGGACCTACTGGGTTGCGGGTTCAGCATTTACGTGAGGCATGTGTCGCTGGAGGCGGTGACAGCTTTCTCGCTGAAGTCGCGCGCGTGGTTAACGTACTTGCGCAGGGCCTTGTGGCGCTCTCGAGGCCCAATGGTGGCCTTCGTCCTACTCCCAACTGTAGGAGCCGTTGCGTCCGGCTTCCGCGGGCAGCAGACACTGGGGGGAAGCATTTTGGGGGGTCG